TAGAGATCCGTGTGGCTTTCAAAAATATATCTTTACTTGAATTTTTTTGTCCATACTCGAGGCAATCCATGTTTTATAGCATACTTTCTTACGTACATAGTTCTTGACTACTTTCTCATTGCGTTGGTTCATCGAATGTTTTGGGCTATTTATGTTAGGAGATGTACGCCACAATTGGTATCTGTGGTGTAACTGTAAGCTAAGCAAGAAGAATATATAAAAACAATATATTGCCTCTAACTGTAAGTTGGTTAAATCGCTCTATGGTTTAAAACAAGCGCCTAAGCAGTGGCACGAGAAATTTGACCATGCGATGTTAACTAACGGGTTTAAAATAAACGAAAATGACAAATGTGTCTACGTTAAGAAACGATAGACGGCTACGTCATTCTTTGTTTATATGTCGATGATATTCTCATCGTTGGTAGTAATGATCGGATGATCAAGTCTACCAAAAACATGTTAAATGCGAGATTTGACATAAAAGGATATGGGTTTGGCTGATTTAATCCTTGTGATTTGAATCATTAGAAGACCTAATGGCCTTGTGTTGAGCCAATCACATTATATTGACAAAATCCTTGGAAAGTTTAACAAGGATGATGGTCAAATGGCTAGAACACCGTTTGATACAAACATTCATCTAACCAAGAACCACGGAGAAGGTATTTCACAAGTGGAATATGCTTAGGTTATTAGTAGTTTGATGTATCTTATGAGCTGTACTAGGCCGGATATTGCCTATGCGGTTAGTAAACTCAGTAGATATACGAGTAACCCCGGTGCTATGCACTGGAAGGCAATAGTAATGGTTATGAGATACTTGAGGTATACTCGTGATTTTGGACTGCACTACGGGAGATATCCCGCTGTACTTGAAGGGCATAGCGACGCGAACTGGATATCTGATATTAAGGACTCTAAGTCCACGAGTGGCTACGTGTTTACACTAGCCAGTGCATGGAAATCCTCTAAGCAAACTGTGATAGCTAGATCCATGATGGAATCTGAGGTGATAGTCTTGGACAAAGGTTGTGAAGAGGCTGAATGGCTACGCCATTTTATAGAGGATATTCCTGATTGGGAAAGATCGGTACCTCCAATATGTGTGCATTGCGATAGTCAAGTCACAATTGGGAGAGTACAGAGTCATATGTATAATGGTAAGTCTAGACATGTGCGTCGAAGACATAATACCATTAGACAACTGCTCACAACTGGTGTTGTCTCGATTGACTACGTAAAGTCAAAAGACAATATAGCGGATCCGCTGACCAAAGGGTTAGGCAAAGAAGTTGTGGAGAAGTTGACACGAGGAATGGGTCTAATGCCCTTGGACTAAAAGTTCTATAGTGGATATCCAACCTAGCTGGCACCTAGGTTCAATGGGACAACTAAATTATGGAACGGAGCGTGTCACTGTGGGGGTCTCGGACTTCCTACTACTCCTCGTTAAAACAGTGACTCCCGCACGAGGCTAGCATGTTGATGCTTTAATGATTCTTGAGTATGCGGGATACTCAAGAAAGAATCACCTATGTAAGAGAGAAGTGAGGGTCGCTTCAAAGGAGAATTGATGGGCAACAATTCTTTAGGAACTCTCGCAGAACCAGGAACGGTGACCCACGACCCAAACGGGCACACTCGCGAGAACAAGAGCATGGTTGGGAGGTTCCTGTGTGAGATATGTCGTCGTCTACACAAATGGCAGTCGGTTCAAAGATATCGCGTTCTACCGTATAGCCAGTAGAGTAAACATGTCTTCACAAGTGAAGGTTCAAAGGGTATAGTGACTCCCTACCTATCCTATGCAGGGATCGACCGTTTGCACACAGTTGTTTCTGATTTCAAAATACCCTGAAAATCAATTTTTCATTCATGTGGGGATTGTTGGAAAAATAGCTTAAAATGGCATGTTAAGTGACTATTTTGTGGTACAATTATCAGTGGGGTCCACTTCTGATTTGGGTCGGGTCAAAGTGGATTCCGGTTCTTCGTAGTGGACGGAGAGATTGATATATTGTACGCTCAAAACAGATAATGGGTGAATGAGATATTGATTCTCAAAGTAGACCCATTTGAGTTGGAAAATAAAGGGAAAAAGTGGGTTTTTGTCCCACATTGGTTTGAAAAGAGGATTTGCCCCCCTTTTTATACAAGAGCTCCTTTAGAACTTGTAAAATTGTATAGCATAGAAGCTCTCTCGTGCGTGCGGGGTAGGGGGAATGCATCTCAAATTCTAACTAGAAACGAGATAGAAAAGGCTTGATTCAAGCTCGAGGTCGTGTATGCCGGCACCTTGCCTAGGCCACAACCACAACGCTCCTACCACTTTTGGGAGGTGGCAAGTAAGATTTTAAGGAAAGAGTGATCGTTTGACTCTTGCTAAAAACTCAATACCAAAAACTAGCCAAATTCTCCATATTTCCTTCCCTTACTTTCCAGAAAAAATAATAATCTTATTTTATTAGATTAATTTTTTTTTTCACCAACGGATATCCAACACTAAGTTCACCAAATATATATATATATATATATATATATATATATATATATATATATATATTACCTCTAAACCACGCACCATAATCTTTTTTCTTAAAATTTGCCTCAACTAAACCATGATCCATATTTTAGGATGGATTATTGATAAATATTATATTTAATATACTGTAGATTCATTTTTAATTTGATATACTAAATGATTATTTTTAGGTAATGCACTAACATTAAACATGCACTACATTATGAATGAATTAAAAAAAAAATAAAAAAATAAAAAAAAAAGCATGTATATCTAAAACTAACGTGTATGTTAGTGACCCACATTACAATATGGGCAACAATGCACGGACAGTATGAAGATTGTTTTTTCAAATGCTTATAGATTAGTGTTCACAATAACATCAATTTTCTCTTCATGAAATTAAAAAAATTAACTCCTACCTCTTGTAGTTGATAATTTTTTTTTATTACTCCTATTTTATTTATATGTTATGCTTATTATTCATGGGTCAAACAACTCTTTCTTCTTTAATTTGTTTATTTATTTATTTATTTATTATTATTATTATTATTATTATTGTTTTTAAATTTTGATTTTTTAAAATTTAATAGTACTATTAATATAGTTTCAAAATATATAAATTTTAAGTACTAAAACTTTATATTATTAAAAATTGAATTGAAAATAATTTTGGTGAAACATCACTAATTGAAGTAGAAATATAAAATGATATGAAAGTAGTGTAATAGTAAAGTTAAACATAAATCTGCACGAACTTAACTCATTGGTTGAGTATGCAGCATTTGTGAGAAGAGATCAAAGTTTGAAATTCGCCAAGGGCAGTGTGGAAAATATGCTTAAAGTGGGTAGATCCTTTTATGCGTACTGGCATTTGGTCATGTTTGCTGAGTCATTGGATCACCGTGATTTGTATTCTCTCAAATACTCTATCAAGTTGGAATGTGGGGGTATTTGGGGCCGAGGATTCAATTTTTTTTTTATTTTTTTTTTTTATTTTTTTGTTTTAGAAGAAGAAAAGTTAAAAATAAGTCATCCAAAACATAACCACAAAATGCATCAAGAGGCAAGAGCACTTATCCACATCTTTAATTTTCAGAGATGAAATGCGGAGGGTATAAATCACAATCCATTGGTTTTTATCATGGATGCAATCAATGGTCAGAGAATCTAAGCAGAATGACACACGCTGGCATGGCGCTGAGTCAGCACCCATGCCATCTACAGGGGACAGTAGATTATCTTGCCACGTGTCACCCCAATCATGAGCAACAATAACTACGCTATGACTGAACATAATTTAATCTCCAAAAGGAATTACTCAAAACAATAAATAAAATAAAATAATTAATGGTCGTTAAATTGGTTGGCACGAGGAACGGGCCGGGCTCGACACTTTATCTTTTCCACATCATCACTGTCCTTTATATCCACAGGAAAAAAAATAATTCTATTTTTTGCCCCCAAATTATTCTAGAATTTCAACGTCATTCAACAGTCTATGGAAAATGGTCCCCACGCGTTTTTTTGGATAATGGATGTCATTTTCCATTATAATAATTATAGAGTAGAAACCTTATAAAGTTACTGTATATATTTGGAAAAAATATTGACAGATAACACTTAATGTTTATTATAAAATAAAATGTTTCTAGCATTTTTTTGAAAAAAAATAAATAAATTCCTTTCATTTAAAGCATCATCAAAAATAATATTATTAAACCTACCATATAAAATGATTAATTCCCAAAAAAAAAATGTAATGATTAGTAAATCGATTGTTATTACAATATAATAATTGTGATGGATAGGGGACTAGAGAGTTGACCGGTTAGACCGTCGCTTTGGGAAGTCGGTCGGACCAGAGGAACTCAAGTGCGAGCGAACCCAAGAATTAGTCGAGTCAGGCCCGAAACTTCAAAGAGCGCAAGAAAATCAGAACTCAGCGAAGCATAGATATCTTCGGCCTATGTGTAATCTAGTAGGATTATGCTTCCTATTCATAATGAGATAAAGATTGAGTTTCTTACTCCTAATGTAACAAAGACTCTAAATATGAAATAATCTAGAAATTTATTCCTTTTATAACTCTAAGACTACTTAGTATAAATATATCTCATTCATGAGGTAAGAAAGAAAGCAATTCACAGTAATACGGAGTACTTACATAGTTACATTCTCTCTATTTTCTATATACTCATTATTTTAGTGGTATTGTTGTCATTCCATTATTGATTGTGTACATTTTTGTCCCTGTAACTTTGTTTGTTCAAATTATCCATATCCATATATATATATATATATATATATATATATATATATATATATATATATATATATATATATATATATATTGTAAAATTGGTACAGTAGAAGCTAAAAAATTATGCGGCTGTTTTTTAATATTTTCTGTGGGGGTGACACGTGGCCCGTTTCTTTAAAATCAGCATTCCACTGCCTTCTTTTTCTTACGGAACAATTTCTCAGGAGCATCCAAACAACTTTTTTCTCCCTAAATTCTCTGCATTTCTAGCTCTCAAAATTTCAAATCTTTTTCACAAACACCATATTTAATTTCTCCGTACCCTTTGCTCCAAATCTTTCCAATACCAACCCTAGATTGCATATTTTGCGAGTTGTGTATTTGAATCTTGAATTTATTTGTAAATAATTTGAGTTCTTTTCCAGATTTTGAGCCGTAGCTATGGAGGTTTCAATGATTGGAAGCTCTAAGGTGCATCTGGGCAGGAGTGATTTGGGTTCTAGAGAGGTTGGGGTTTGTAGTTTTGGCAGAAACTTCAATGCTAAGACCTCTTCTTTGAAGAATCCAAAGTTGTGTTTTGGTCAGACTTTTTCATGGCCTTCAAGAACTTCTGCTTGCTTAAGCCTTAAAGCCTCTGCTGCTTCCCAAACTGAGGCTGTCGTTTCTGACAAAGTTTGTGGAGCAAAAAGATCTAAACCTGTAAGTCATCTTTCTTTTTTTCTCATAAACAATTTTGATTATGCTAATCGCCTTATAATTAGTGATTTATTTTGTTGTGGTGCTTTGACTTGTTTAGTTTTATGGTGAAAGATAAAGTTGGATTAAAATATAACTGTTGATCGTGTATAATCTGCTCTGATAGAGTTAAAGCAAGTTTTACTTTTATCCAATTTTGGTTTTCTTTTTGGAGCTTTTTTTTAGAGTCGAGTAAAGTGAAGAGATAATTAGATCTTAATTTCACACTGGAAGAAAGAAGGAAAAAGCAAGTCCAAAGACCAAAGACAGGTGTTTGGTGCTTAATATTGATTGTGGTCCTCTCTCTGTGTTTAACAAAGAAATTGAGCTTACGATCCCCAAATTAATGCGAAACACTATTTTGTTTAGGCTGGTAAGTAGCAGGCCGGGTTGGTGAATTTATTACAAGTATTGTCTTTTTCATTGTTAGAGTTGTTTAATTGAAAATTCTTGAAAACTTTACCAAGGAAATGCTATTTTGATTGCTATTTTTCTCCGTAGTCGGTACTAAGATAAATGAGTGATCTAGATCAGAACGGTACTACCTCCCTAACACTTAAACTGGCCAACTGTTTCTATACTTGGTGTATGTAAATAAGATAAACTCACTTTATAACCACTGATCAAGTCTTTAAGAGTTTAAGTTAACAATTCAATTCAATTGGGGAGATATCATCCTTATGTTTTACTTTAGTGATCTGTTTTCTCTTTTATAAAGTCTAGTCTTGTTAGGATCAGATCAAGCGCTTACCACTTACGCTAGACGCTGGGTGCTAGACTTGGCCCTTTACTGGTCTCTGCCCAACAAGTCTAGACTAGATATTATGTAGATTTTCATTTCCATATTAAATTCTAAATGTTCCAATCTTATGCTGCTGACATTGATTAGTTGCAAAATGGTTATGCAGATTGATAGTGTGAAACTATATGTTGGGCTGCCATTGGATACAGTCTCTGGTTCTAACACGATCAACCAAGCACGAGCAATTGCAGCTGGACTGAAAGCTTTCAAGTTACTAGGTGTAGATGGTGTGGAACTGCCAATCTGGTGGGGTATTGCTGAGAAGGAAGCTATGGGAAAGTATGACTGGAGTGGCTACCTTGCTGTGGCTGAAATGATCCAGAAGCTCGGCCTGAAGCTTCACGTGTCATTATGCTTCCATGCATCCATGAAACATAAAATCTCACTTCCTGAATGGGTTTATCAAATCGGTGAATCAGATCCTAGCATCTTCTTTACAGATCGGTCAGGGCACCAATATAAAGATTGTTTGTCTTTAGTTGTGGATGATCTTCCAGTTCTTGATGGGAAAACTCCACTGCAAGTGTACAAAGGGTTCTGCGAGAGCTTCAAGACTGCATTTTCCAATTTCATGGATTCCACTATAACTGTAAAGAATTTTGACACTCACTAACTTCATTTTCATTCATGAAATTCCTTCCATAATAGATTATGGTTTTGTTTTGTATAGGGCATATCAATTGGTCTAGGACCAGACGGTGAGCTTCGCTACCCTTCTCACCACCAACCAGCCAAAAGCAATAATGGAGCTGGGGAATTCCAGTGTTATGATAAATACATGCTAAGTCATCTCAAACAACACGCGGAAATGTCTGGTAACCCTCTGTGGGGACTTGGTGGTCCCCATGATGCTCCTGCCTATAACGACCCACCTATCTCAACCAACTTCTTCAAGGAGCATGGTGGATCATGGGAGACGACTTATGGTGATTTTTTCCTTTCTTGGTATTCCAACCAGCTTATTACACACGGAGATCAACTTCTTTCGGTTGCTGCCTCCACTTTCAGTGATGTCCCCGAGATTACAGTTTGTGGAAAAGTTCCTCTAATCCATTCTTGGTACAAAACTCGTTCCCACCCAGCAGAGCTGGTCGCTGGGATCTACAACACGGAGAACAGAGATGGCTACGAAGCTATAGTTGAGATGTTCTCGAAGAACAAGTGCAAAATAATCTTGCCAGGAATGGACCTGTCTGACGAGCAGCAGCCAAAGGAATCCCTCTCGAGTCCAGAATCGTTACTTGCACAAATTGCATTGTGTTGCAGAAAGCATGGAGTTGAAATCCTTGGCCAGAACTCAACGGCTTCCAACGCTGCTGCCAGTGGTTTCGAACAGATCAGAAAGTACTTAGCGGGTGAAAGTGCAGCAGCCATCAGCTTGTTCACCTATCAACGGATGGGGGCGTATTTCTTCTCCCCCGACCATTTTCCTTCTTTCACCAAATTCATGCGCAACCTCAGGGAACTCGAACTGGAACTCGATTCAGATGATCAGCCTGCTGGATCATCTCTTTCTGCCAGGAACCTACAAGAGCAAGCTGCTTAGACATGCCATGCCTAGTATTATAATATAGATAAGATATTGAATGTGAAATTAGTAAGTGTTAAATATAGAAAAAGAGCTAAAGCTGTATTTTAGTTTGGATCGGAGACTCTTATTTACTCAGAGAAGAAGCCCCTATTATTATTGTTAAATCTCTCTCTTCTACTTTCACTCTCTTTTGAGTTTTGACTAATTGCTGATCTGATTCGGAATGGCATGATCCTACATTTTGTTCAAGTACAAGAATGATTTGAACTTTTCCACACGAGGGGTATTTTTATTTTTATTTTTTTCTTGATTAAACCAAACTTTTGGTTCAAGGTAGATAGATAGCTGCCTATCAAGACAAGAATGCTGGTAAGACATCAACATTTCCAGTCTCATCAATAGACACCCACCAAGCAACACATGGAAAATGGAGGGTTTTATGCTTTGATTTGATAATTACAGCTCGCTAAAGAGACTAAAAAATTAAGACCAGCAATTTATGGCCATGATTAAATTACAGGTGGCAAATAGGAACTTTTTTTATGGGTTGAAAAATCAAAATTTCAAATTTCAATTTGTCAAAGTTAATAGGTCACATTGAACATGACATAAAAAACTTTGAAATTGAATACTTGATATGGTATTGAAAAACAAAACCATGAGCGCTTTTCAGCAAGCACACCGCATATTACATATTATTACTGCATATATATATATATATATATATATATATATATATATATATATATATATAATGAAGTATATATAGAATGAAGTTTAGGTGTGAACTTTAGTTACCATGTGAACTTGTGCACTTTTTGACACCGTGCATTTGAGTTGATCTATGGTGGGGGTTGAGGGTGCATGCTCGCCGTGTGCACCGTGTTTGTATAATAAATCTTCTATGCAACTTACTCGGGGGCATTTTTGGAATTCTCACGGAGCTAAGGAGGGCGTTCTACGCTAGTTGCGTATCTCTACTGTACTCGTGTCCTCCTACCATTTCTGTTCACAAATTTTGCCGGTCGGTTCTGCTACGGGGCGATGGTGCGTTCTAGTGGCTCACGCCGTTCGAGGAGGGGAAGGTCGGGCCGTCCGTTCTCGTCGTCGACGCAGCCTTTTGGAGGGTCGTACAGAGTCGCGGTGGGGAAGCGGTCATTCAAGCGGTGGTCCAGGTATCGTACTCCGCCATCGGTGGCGCCGGGGGTCTTCAACCGTGCGGCTGGCGGAGTAGGCCCGCGGTTAGTTCTGTTTCTCTTACAATTTTGGGGTCCGATTTCCTTGATTTTGTATTCGTAGTTCTATTTGCGTGTTTGCTATGTATATGTATTCTGGTGTGGGGGAGCTGGGTGGTATTGGGGTCGTGGGAGATGCCTTGTGTATTAGGAGCTTGTTTGGTGTGTGGGTCATTCGTTGGATGATTGTTGGACCATTCTTATTGTTTGGATGGTATTATTATTATTATTGGTTGATTTTGCTATTTGAATCCTGGTTTGGCAATCTGCTCACTGGGTGTGTATTTAATTTATAATCAACCGGTGTTACAGTGTTTAACGAGTGCACAGTGGTTAGGAAAATCATTCTAAGTTAACTATATTCGTAGAGCCCTCAAGGTAAACCACACTAAGCATTTGGTCTGTTAGTGCACGGTAGAATTAGTAGAATTATTTGGTATTTTAAATGCATGTATGAACTTCAAATGTAGAATTAGTTTACTGTAGGATTAGTAGTGCACTCGATCTTATTAGCTGTGCATTCGGTCTGTTAGTGTTCTCTGGTGTTGTGGTCTGTTGGTTTTTAAAAAATTACAGTATCATGTTCTGTTCCTTATTCATTGAAAGTAGTTCAATTTAGACATTAAGGGGGTAATTGAAATGTACCACATACATTCTCATAAGTCATATATTAAAATAAAGCATTTATAATTTTCTTTCTTTGTTTATAATTAAAGTTGCAGACAAGATATGAGTGATGTATGCCATTAATTTAAGATTTAACCTTTTCGATTCAGAATCAATTTGATGGTCTTTCTATTATATATGCATTAATAATATCTTGATTAAGGATGGGTATATTGCCCACTCTACACCACCCTAACAACAATCACTACCCTCTATTTTTTTTTGGGTGTTCTTGCAATATGCTGCGGTATGTGCATTTAGGAAACACAACGAGAGATAAGGGATTATTTGTTTCTTCATTTACGTATTTAAATTACTTGAAATACTCTACGGGCTGTAATTAAATTATTTGAATTATAACTGTAATTCATGATGCACAGATATAAATACCCTCCATTTCCCCTAGTTAGGCTTTCCAATGTATTCAATATTTAAATATAAACAAGCATGTATCAATATGCATTGACTTGAGGAATTCCTACCTTGGTGCGTGGTTTATGTGCTTAATGTGAGTAGTTGTTGAAACTTAAGGTGCGTCAACCTAAAGCTTAAGGTGCGTGGTTTTCCTTCTTAAGGTGTGTGATTTGTATGCTTCAGGTGTGTGAGTTGTTGAAACTTAAGGTGCGCCATTTTAAAACCTTAGGTGCGTGGTTTGTGTTCTTAAGGTGCTTTGTTTGTGTGTTTAAGATGCGTGGTTTTTGTACTTAAGGTGCGCGATTATAATGCTTAAGGAGCGTCAACCGCACGGGAAGCTATACCCGCACCTGAACCCTTCCCTATATATATAGGGTGGTTTTCTGGTGCATACCACACTTAATGTGTGAACTTGTGTACCCATCTGGTGCATTGATCGCGTGCATCTGACGGCCCAGAGTTAGCATGCGTACGGTTACGATGCACCGACACACATGTTACAATATGGACATCCAGGCATTCCAGGGGTATCGCGTGTTCTATTCTTCATTGGACTGGACTCCAGTTACGTCTCTCCCATCCTATTTTTCTGGGCATTCTTCCTCTGCGTACCCGAACTAGGTTGTTGCGACGATAGAGATTCATGGTGGGGGGAGGGGGGGCATGTTGCAGCCGGTGCATCCAAGATTGCTTCCACAGGTATCCTCCCCCCTCACCCTCCCTTTCGTTCTTTTGGTTTCGTGCGCCGCAAGTGCAGACGCCGACGTCGTACCGACGGAGACACCGGAGGCAGCCCCTGTGCGGCAGTTGGTGCGCCTCCCTCCGGCGCACGTAGCGAACGTTGTTCCCAGCCTTGCAGTGGCACCACATGGGTGTGGTTGAATTCTCCTGCTACTGCTTCGTTCCTGGACTACCGTGGGTGATCAGCCTCTGGCATGCGAATTAGGGTATTAGTACATTTGTTGGTTTACAACAACCTTCCGGTAAATTAGTAGTATTTTCTGTGCATTTGATCTGTTAGTGAGCCCTGGTGTTATCACACAGAGCACTGTAGAATTAGTTTACTATAGAATTAGTAGTTTATTTGTTCTTCTTATATGTGCATTTTGTCTGTTCGTTAGCTATTTTCTGTGCATTTGAACGATTAGTGAGGCCTGGTGTTATCACACAGAGCACTGTAGAATTAATAGTGCATTTTGTCTTCTTATCTGTGCATTTATTCTGTTCCTTAGCTCTTGTGCTGTGGTCTGTTGGTTTTTTTTTTCCCATTTTTTTTTAATTTACAGTGTCAAGTTGTTCTTATTGAGTAAGCTAAGCCATGGTTTAATTAGAAGTGATTTGAATTAAAACATCCTGTTTATCACCCATGATGCAGTCACTAACTCCTAATGTGATTGTGGCTTATTTGAATCCCCCCGCCCCCCCCCCCCCCCCCCCCCCCCCCCCCCCCCCAAAGTTCATTTGCTATTTTGGCAGAATGTTAATGCAAATTGCTTATCCCCCCTTTAGCTATATGCGTGTTGACTAACCCCATTCACATGTCACTATTTGCAGGCTATAGAGACCGCGTAGAGTACAAGCCGGTTAATTGGGTGTAGTACTGTTTGCAACTGCAAGATGTTCCTACGATTGGGGTTGGTTTGCAGGCATATGTTTCTAGTGTTGAGGGTTGCACAAGTAAAGCGCTTACCCTCAGACTATACCGTTGATCGTTGGGGTAAAACAGGAGCTACAAACCTATGGTCTGATATGAACATGTGTGTTGGGATGGTTGATAATAGTACGGTGCGTCAAGCACAAATGATACAAGTATTGCAAGAGTTGAGAGATGAATTTGTGCGTGATGGTACCGGCCATGTCCCTACAAAGGGTAACGCAGCCGCAATCGAAGCTCTATGTGGAGTGCAGCCACCCCCCTTTATAACCATTAAATCCCCAACACAAACTAAAACAAAGGAAGTGGGAAGCGTATTAAGAGCAGCCGAGAGATAGCCATAGGGAAAAGTGGCAAAGTTGGACGGAAGTGGAGGTATGCAGTGAGTACGCCCGTCACAACGCTCGTAGTTGTCCTTTCTGGTGAAGGGCGCTTTTGTTAGTCCTACTCCCATTTTTTAACGCTACAAATAATTTTAGTTTGATTTTAATTAGTTTCCTTTTGTTTTTTAAAATTTTTTTTTTGTTTTTTGTTTTTTTTTTTTAATTAGTTTCCTTTTTGTTTTTTTTTTTGGTTCCTACTCCCGACTACATGATTGACCTTGTTAATTGCCACACACATCCATATATAGATACATGTTGGTCACCCTCATAACTCATGGATTGTTGAGGTTGGCTAGGCTAGAGTGTTTCTCTCTCTAGAGAGAAGTCTCTCTGACTTCTCTCTAGAGTGCCAATGCCACGATGAATGTTCTTTCGTCCTTTCCCAGTTCGTGAACAAAGAATTTCTCAATTCATTTGGGTTATTTGTTTCGTTTACGTACTGGAAGGTTTAATGATTTGTGTTATTTTGGTTTTATGTAAAATCTAAAAGCTTTGTCCCAGATTGTGATTTGAATATTGCACTACTATTGTTCATAGCTTTGGCGTTTGGGAATGAGACAAGGATTTCTGGTGGCGTCTTTGGTCCACCATCGGCGAGACAAAGACAATGATTTCCGGCGGTTTGATTTGTCCGTTTCCATTTGGACTCTTCGTTAACGTCAAAATCCCTTGGATTTAGCGATAGCGACAAAGTCCTCCGTTGAGTTACGGTCACGATTTTGCAATACGGCTACTTCGGTGTATCTGCTCTTCGATTTCCGATAAAGAGGCCGGCGAGTCACTCTTCGGTGGCTTCATCTTTTTTGGTTTTTGCCTTCCTGGTGGATTTTGCGTAAGCGTTGACTACCCCAACCCCGATGGCGACGGTGACTGCTCCAAGTGGTGGTCTCAGTCCAGGCGTCCTGTTCCGATTTACCGTGGGATATGGGGAAAGCTCGTTGACGTTCTTCCGGTGGCAAGCTTTGGATTTGTCGGAAACGACAAGGACTTTGACGCGAGATACCAGTGCGGGCGCCCAAATCCTCCGACTCACAGTGTCCCTGACGGACGATCTGAAAACCGGTTGGCTTACGGCAGTGGGAGTGGTGTCCAGCGAACCTAACGACGGTGGGAGAGATCTCTGTGAGTTCCGGCGATCTCGTAAGTTCTCTCAGGCGTCTTGTTTTTTGATTTATCTGGCAGTGGGTGCTTTGTCCGGCGAATGGACTGTCTCCGGGCGTGTTCGCCTCTGTTATTTGACCCCTGTATGTGGATGGTCTTTCTCTGAAATGGCGCCTGGAGTATGGACTGCATTGGAGATGTGTGGATGTTCCCAGTTTCCGATGGTCCTCGTTTTTTCCGGCCATGTTGGGGTGGTTCCGTCTGTGTTAGGGTGATTGCAATGGTGGTGAGCAAAGGTCCGGTTTGTTCTGTTTGGTATTCATCTTATTTGTGGTTGTTTTCTAATCTGAATTGGCGCTAGAGTTGGAGTGCGTTGGAGATGGATTAGGGTGCTCCCGTTCATCTGTCCGACGTCCCTTGATTTTTCCGGTCAGTTTGGGTGGATTCCATGGATGGGTGTTTCCGGCAAGGGTGTTTTATGGCCATGGATTTTTCTGGTAATTTGTAGCTTCGCCAATGGAAGTCCGTGGATGGTGGTGGTTCTCCAATGGTTGACCGGCGCTGGCCTCGGTATGGAAAGGGCGATGAATATGGGATTTGCGTGATTCAAGGGATCATTTTATTATGGTGATGATTTTTTTTCTTTCCCACCGTGACATATATGGTTAACATAATCTTAAGACAGAATGGATTCAATGATTCAAGCTAGCGTGGCGGGAGACATCCCAATTAGTTGGCGTGAGACCCGGTTCGAGTCCTCATGGAGATTTGTTTTTACATTCAGCTCTTCAAGACTTTCGTTTGAGCCGTGCATGGAAATGCATGGAGCAGATTCGGAGGACCATAGTGCACGGGACCTGGTTTAGTTGGGCATCCCGGATTTTATTGTTTTATCTTAAATGATTTATTTACATGTGTATTTGTTTGTTTTTTAGTTTTAACGATTGGTGTAATCAGGGGTATGCCCCGGTGTCACATGTTTTTGGACATTTGATTTATATTTACATCTCCGATTTGATGTTGGTCACCCTCATATGTTATAAACCACTTAGTCAAAACATTCCTTTATTCCCAAGAACTATAATCAACTAAAATCGCTAAATAATAAATTAAATGAATCAATATAATGTTCGAATTTAATTCATTTGCTACTTTGTAGATCGCCGTAGTCATTGGCGCAGCTGACCCATCCTTTGAACATCATACTCGCCTACACGAGTGGCAATACTCTGCATGTTGTCATCGACCTTGCACAAAAGGATGTTGTGCAAGAAACGCTTCTGTAGATCGAGTATTTGTTGTGAAGCTCCTTAGGCATTCCCCGCATCGTAATTTGGGGGAACAGACTGCCATGGGGCGCAGGTACATCACAGGTTGGTCCTTCAAGCTCCACATCAGCGAGGTACCGTGGCGGGGTGTGGCAGTTAGTGAAGAAGATCTTGTCGAAGAAGATCTTGTCGTTCATGTCCTCTCGCAAGTTGGAGATGAATTCAATCATGTTGTCCCTGCTCTACGGATACGTGAAACACCAATTTCTTTCGCAGAAATTTCTGACGTACTGTTGGAGTTTGAAAGGTTACAACATGAAAATAACTCTGCCCAACAGATTCTTCTTGCTACAGCAAATGTCACGCAGAGACAAAATAGAAATTTTCAATCTGGACGATCAACAAATAATAACTACACTCCAACTGGTGCAACTCGTCAGAACAACAATGGAAATTCATCGTTTCGCCAAGGATGGCCGAATCAATCTCAACCGCATCCAGGCCGAAATACGATTGTGTGCAACTTTTGTCATCTCATGGGTCATGAGATACGAGACTGTCGAAAGCTAATACCAACACTAGAACCTTCTATTGTCACTCAAGTGAAGGCTAATCATGCGTGGTGTAAAGCTATGGATGAGGAGTACCATGCTCTTTTAAAGAATAATACATGGGAGCTAGTGCCCAAAACGAATCAAAAACCTATTGGGTGCAAATGGGTGTTTCGTGTGAAGAGAAAACTAGATGGTACAGTATAGATCGTTTTAAAGCCTGACTTGTGGCAAAGGGGTATTTGCAGGAATCTGGAAAAGATTTTTTTGACACTTTTAGTCCAGTGACTAAACCTGCCACTATTCGTGTGGTTCTTTCTCTAGCTTTGTGTTTTAATTAGCCTTTACGACAATTGGATGTTAATAACGCATTCCTACATGGAACTTTGCATGAGGAGGTTTACATGACCCAACCTCCTGGATATGTTGATCCACAACACCCTTCATATGTATGTCGTTTAAAAAAGGCGTTATATGGTCTAAAACAGGCTCCGCGAGCATGGTACTTGGAGTTATCAGGTTTTTTGATTGAATCTGGTTTTCAAAAATCAAAGGCTGATTACTCACTATTTATTTATCAGTCTACCAGTGTTTTGGCATACTTCATTGTTTATGTTGATGATGTGGTCTTAACAGGAAATAATTCACAGTTTCTTGATTTTTTTGTTCACCGGCTGGATCAACGATTCTCTATCAAAGATCTTGGCCCGTTACATCATTTTCTAGGCGTGGAGGTACTGCCTACCGCAACTGGGCTCTTCCTGTCTCAAGCTCAGTACATCATCGATATCTTGAAGCAATATCACATGGATGATGCTAAGGTTATGCATACACCGGCATCAACTTCGGCAAACCGGTTGTCGGCTGTGGATTCGTCCTCAATAGATGCTACAACGTACCGATGTGTTCTTGGCTCATTGCAATATTTATCTTTTACACGTCCTGATATTAGTTTCATTGTGAATCGGTTGAGTCAGTTCATGCATTCTCCAACAATGCACCATTGGCAAGATGTCAAGCGTGTGTTACGTTATCTCAAAGGAACCTTGTGTCATGGCTTATTCTTGCGGAAAGGCTCAACCCTCTCTTTAACCGCGTTTTCTGACTCGGATTGTGGTGGTATTCATGATAGTGGTCGCTCGACTACTGGTTATGTTGTGTACCTGGGTTCAAATGTTGTGTCTTGGAAATCAGTTCGTCAAAAGGCAGTTGCTCGATCGTCTGCAGAGGTTGTTTGGTTGCAGAACTTGTTGCTTGATTTGGGAATATGTTTGCCTCAATCCCCGTTGATATTTTGTGACAATATGAGTGCAACATATGCCTGCAAGAATCCAGTTTACCACTCTCGAATGAAGCACTTAGCCCTTGATTATTTTTTTGTCCATGATCGTGTTTCTGATGGCTCTTTGCGGGTCCAACATATTCGCACCGGTGATCAAATTGCAGATGTCTTAACCAAGGCTTTGGGTCGCGCTTCCTTTGACAAATTTAGATGCAAGCTGGGTGTCTCCGATGGATCCTCCATCTTGCGAGGGTGTATTAAGGAATAATATTAGTTAGCTTTATTCCTTCTATTCCTGTGTATTTTGTTTTCGTCTATGATTGTTTTTCCTTTTCCTAAGATCATGGGTTGCCACCACCATGCTCTGTATGCACTGTATAAATAGATGGCTTTTGCTTCAATAATACAATTCATCTATCTTCCTTCATATTCTCAATACTCTTCACCAGGGACATGCAAAACATCACGCAATGTAAAGGATCTAGAATTAGTGGCTAGCAAACCTGTACCACTGCCGACTCGCAAAGTTCCCGGGCCATTATAACTTGTTGCGGAAGTCATCAAGGACGAATCAAGTGTAGCATGATTCGTAGCACCAGTGTCTGTGAACCACTCATGTGGACCTGTGAGATCACCATTCTCACCAGAGACAGCCATATTCGCCTGAGGAGCCGGGGAGGTTGCAAAACGCTGAGAACCCGGAGCCCTTGAATATCGCCAAAAACAATTGGCTCCCGTGTGATCGAAACATTTACAAATTTGACATGGATCATCATAGCGCCAAAAATAATTGACTCCCGTATGACCGAAACATTTACAAATTTGACACGGTTCATCATAGCGCCATAAACAATTAGTTCCCGTGTGGCCGAAACCTTTACAAATTTGACACGGTTCTCGGTAACCTTTACAAGTGCTCATTGTAATTATGGAATCACATCAACCAACAATTGTAATTAGCGACACTCTTAAGCGCTAAACCCTAGCTCAATGAGAGAAAACCTGGAAACTGATACCAGATGAGAATATAGATTATGTTATATTCAATCATAATGTCTGAGAGTACAGAGAGCAAATATATAGATACTAGATAGAATTCTAGTCTAACACGAATAATATAGTCCTAGTCTAATATGGATAACATAGTCCTAGTCTAATATGAATAACATAGTCCTAATATTTATATCACTCCTTTCATTTTCATTCTCAATAATTGTAATCCTCCATACCAAACAATATAATTTAAATTCTTACTTTATTTCCACTTTAATTTTTCCCCACCAAATTTACAATCCAAACACTCATATCTTTTGATTTAAAAGCAAATGTAGTTGTGATCTACTGTAAAAGCTGAACACGCTTTCCTTTCCTTGCCCCTATAGTGAAAGCAAGAAAAATCAAAAGGCCAAACAAACACAGCATGCCAAAATTGAACCTGGGAAAATTGGCCAAACAAAACAACGTTAAAACTGGACCCAACATAGTTACGTTGCAGATGATGATAACAAAGCTGGGGGGTGGGGATGAAGATAAATTGTCAAGGAAAAAGAAGTTGCATTTACACAGTAATGTAGACAAATTAATGAACAACAGCCAATGCCCCTAATTAAACATACAACCATCACTGACTAGTCTTTGTATTAAGAAAACATTTGAAGGTAAATTGTGAATAACATCATATCATGCTAGCTAGCTCCGCAATGCAAGCAACCACTTCAGACTGTTTATTTGGTTTTGCCAAACAATCTTTCCTTCCGTTCCTGAACAACCATTGGAAAGAAAGTTAATATAGCTTCAAAGAAAACAATGTTAGATCGAGATTATTAGATGAAGATATATATATATATATATATATATATATATATATATATATATATATATATATATAGCAGTGAACAAACACACTAAATGGAATGGAATGGAAAAGAATTGCTAGAGCATCAAACATGGCAAAGAAAGGAATGTAGGAAGGCATGGGTTATTGATGGTCAAGTAAGTTTTGGATAAATGGTTGCATATATCAGATGTTGTAATAAAACAGCATAAATCTTAAGCACTAACAGTTTGACACAGTTTGAGTTGTTCAAATTGTATTTACACCCCTAACAAACAAAAATTACCTTAAGTGGCAATAGCAAAAGCTCCTACCAAAATTGAAGCACTAAGCTACAGCATCCAAAATAAGCTTCTGATTTTGTAGCTTTTGTAATAATTGTAGCCAAGTTGAAAACAGTGAGTCAAAATAGGCTCTTGGGTTGCAGATGTGGGTGTCCAGGTGGGAGCTTAAATGGTTGTGGAGGTTAGAATTGCGGCTGTTAGCTTGGGGGCGGCAATTATGGTGATCTGAGCCTCATCTTTCTCTCAAAGTAGGTTTGGGAACATCTAATAGTAAATGCAAAATGCTACTTGCCATAATTCTTTTGCATTGCACCAAATATTTTTCTAGCTTGTGACAAGTGTTACCTCATTGGCTATCCAAAGTTGGACAGTTTGGTGCAATTACATATGAATGGGAGAATGTCATGTCATGTCAAATGGAACGAATTTAAAGCAGCTCACACTGAACGGCCATGTGTGCAACCCCAAGAGGCAATTTCTATGAGACTATGACCACAATAAATATGAAGTTTGAAATTTGGTCCATTTGGACAGAGTATTTTGATTTTTGATAAAATTGTAAATTTGCTTTGGCTATGGAAATGATTTAAAAGCCATAAGAATCAAACCTCTGAATCCATGTTATTCACAAGCAATCTTGGTATCAAAGCTGCTAAGACAGATGGCAAATGCCTGGAATGCTGACAATGGGTAGCGGAAATCCATAGTAAATACATCCTTGGCTACTTTCCCAAACTGTAGAATGACTTTCTCATGCTCTGGCCCACTCACCCCATTTTCAGGAGCAGCCACCAACTGAAAATTTTTTACTGATGCAACTGTTACCCGTCCATGAAAGTTCAAACACCAGCATTGGAGTTGCTCATGCCATCTTGGAGCCTTGTTTCTCAAAACTAGTGCTCCCTCTGTTTGGTTCTCCAGGGATCCAGATAAAGATTTCTCCACACTGGCTGATTTTGATCGGGAAAACGGTATTGTTGAAAATGAATCATTATTGCTAACTGGAAAATCAGTCTGTGTTGGGGCCACACCCCCAGGTTTAATGGCACAAGCTGGGATGCTATCCATAACACACTGCATTCTTCTTGGACCCCTGCATAGTATAACAAAATGTTATATATAAACATAAATGCGCAATCACGGGCAAAAAAACATAAGGAAAAATGAAGAAAGAATAATAGTTGAAAAAGAAAAAGACATTGGGTTTGCTTTTTTTGGGATTAAATTTCTGCTTCCCTTTCATTGAAATTGGTTCCCTTTTTATAGAATGGCTAAATAAGCTAAGTAATCTGCTGAAATCTTCCAATTTACTTCTAAATAATTAAACTACCTAAATTAATTTGGAAACTAAGAAAAATGCGTTAAATTAACTATTTAGTAATTTATTAATATCTGAAGTAGGTAATATAATAAAAATCATGGCCAGCATGCATGTATCAATTTACCCGCAACATGAATACTCATCTCTCAGTCTATGCAGGTAGAAGAATAATGCATATACTTGACTAAAAACTGTACCTGGCTCCAAGCACGTTCAACTCATATGAAATGTGAGCTACTTCGTAGTTGCTAACGGGCACTCTTGGAGCAATTTGCTTTAAGGCCACAAGCCTAGTGGATCTACTTTTCACCATTTTCACTCCAGCATGCGCCAATGAAGCATCATACACTGTGAACTTGGTTCCCAGAAAATTTGACCTTCATCAAGGGGAAGTTTCTTTTAGGCATCCTTCTAATCATTAATCTATTTTAACAAGAACTAGTAGACAATCCCAACTAGGTCTAGATTGAGCTTAAGACTTTGTCGACATGAGAGTTTAAACAAACTATTTATCACTACACACCTCAATTTCCCGATATAAGTGCCACTTCCCTTTGACATATCATCTACTTGCAGAGATATAATGTAGTCGGTGCAGGTGGTCCGCCTATACTTGCGAGCAGCAAGGAGAAACTTCCCATCATCAGCCAATGCTGCCATATAAAATAAGATGGAGAACATTGGAGGCAGAGGGTCAGACAAAACAAGCAAGCATTACTTAAAAAATCATAATGAGTAGAAGAATTGGAGACAATCACCATATGAAGCAACAAAACTGTACCTTGAGTCAAACTAAGATAAAGATTATATGTTTGTGAAGACTGGTTTCGCTTTATAAAGCACTGCATGAGAGAGTCTCTTGGGCCAGGCTGCAGCAAATGAAACAGAGACTCTTTTTAATTTTCCCCCATAAAAATCTCTATCCTATTATTATTGAAGATACAAACTGTAAGTGATTTCTATAATCACACAAGGCTTATAAATTAGTGATGATTCAAAACTGTTCCTATCATAGCACTGAAAATTTTAATCCTTAAATGAATCATATCTGGCATAACCACCCATAAAATCAAAAAGAAAGAAAATAGGGGTAAACCCAGACAAGAGATCCACACTTGTAACCACAAGATCACAAGTTCAAATCCTTGCCCCTTGGTTTGAACCGGTAGTAACCAACCTTCCTTGTGATCCTTTAGCCACGAGGTAGGATTTACTCACACTTGAAAGGGTAGTGGGGTTTCACTCGTCATTAAAAAAAGAAAAAGAAAGAAAATATATACTCATATATATCTCAAATTCTCAATCCCAAACAATACAAATATATATATACCATGCCATAACACTCTTAATCAAAAAGCAATATTAAAAATTTATCATGACATGAAAGCTCTAAATATTATATAACCAAGCATGAAAGAAGAATATGAAACCTGCTTGACTGAAATTGGGAAGGTTATTTTGGCAGAAGCTTCAGGGGTCTGGACAGCCTCCTTCATGATCTCTCTCCAGCTACTACACACCCCAGCACAAGCCACCACGCTCTTCCTCATGGGCCACTTAGCCTCAGACTCCTCAATCTTCAGCAACACCTCTCTCAAAAGCTCTATAGGCATGTTATTCCAGCAACTCTGCCTCAACCCCTCATCACCAAATTGACTCCCCTCACACGCCTCCTCCGCCTCCGCCACCGCCACCACAGAGCTGTGCCGGCTCCTTGACCTGGACCCATAACCCCACTTCATCTCTCCGCCCGCTTCCACAACTCTCTTATCTACAACAACACAACTTTTTTGCACTACTTTCTAATTCCCCAAGAAAATAAATAATGCCCAGGAAAGTAATTGGCCTTCAATTCAGATCTGAAACAAGACTTCACTAAATTATGATAAAGATCACACCTTTACGCACATCCACCGACATAAATGGAACAACACTCCGTTCTCACGGGGAAACAATAGATTTCTTGCACTAAAGCACAGATTTACAGAACCCAGAGCTCAAAGTCATTAAACAAATGAAATTACTCGAAAAACAACACAGGAATCTATATATCTGATCATACGAATCCCATATATAAATAAACAAATAAAACTACATTTGCATCGATAGATTTTTAGGGTAGTTGGCCTATTAAGGATTAGGTTGGGAAGAAGAGGAAAGAAAAATGTACAGCAAATAGGAGTGTACTTTTGTGCAAAGTCCGATAACCACAAGAAGATTCAGAGAAGGGTTTTATTCTTTTAGGATTTGAGCCGACTAAGCTGGAAGAAGAGGGACTGAGGGATGGGGTGGGGTGGGGGTGGTTAAAGAATAAAAGACTCGAGAGAGAGTGCTAGTGGACAATGGACATAGAGATGAATCATTGGGCAAACTCACCATTTCTCTTTCTTTTCTTTTGGGTTTATCAAAGATTTTTCTTGTTTATCTCGTCAGTCGTCATATTTGCGGACAACAAACAATAAAAATAAAAATTACACAGGGTCGATTTTTTTTTTTTTTTTTTTGGGTTTATTAATTTATTTTTCTCCCAAAATTGAATATCCAATTCAAGGGTACCCATATTTTAATATTATTAAATATGTGAAATGATGTAAATCACAATAATTTATTGATTTAACAAACAAGCTAAATGTCAGAAGAGATTTATCTACATATACGCCTGCTGAAAGAGTTAATAACAACATTTTGTTTTTTTTTTTTTTCTTTTTCTTTTTCTGACAATTCATTTTATTTTATTTTTTTTTTGGATTTTTTCCTCATTATATTACTTCTCTTCTAGTTGTCTCCTAAAAATATGTGCTAAAAAAGAGATGGATGCTCTAACTAAATACATATCATCACCCACCAGGACTATGTGGTCTAAATACATATCATTATGAGTTCAAATCTCAGTGGAGGCGTTATTGGTTCTTTGTGTTTCAGTAGGTTGAGAAAGTATATGAACAGATACTACAATATAATAGAGCCAGTAACTTTCAAAAAAAAAAAATACATATCATTACCCCTCTACCTACTTACTTAACCACCCCCACCTGTAAGAAACTTTAAGCATAAATAATAGGATAACAAATGAATAACAAACAATTTCTTTTAAGATATTACCTCACATTTTAGAGATTATCCAAATTCATTTTATGAGTTAGGCGTGTTTTGTTCATGAGTTTAACTATCCAGAATAGAAATCAAAGTCATTGTTATTGTTTGGTTGAGAAGTTTTTAGAACACTATTATAGGATTTGATTACCACCTTAATTAGAAAACTCATTCCCTAATAAAATAAGAGTTCCATTTCATTATTCCCTTCCTAATTGGTAATTTGATTTTTAAGTTTGGATTAGTATTTATATATATATATTTTTTGTTCATATTGGTGCTATGGATGTCTTTATATTAGAATAAAGTGTCTTAATTTTTTGTGTTTGTATTTTTTAAATATGTATTCCCATTACAGGAACATATATAACCAAAGCGCAATATTGGTAATCATTCCAATTCTACCCTATTACCAAACATGTAAAATACTTTTCCCCAAAACTTATTACCATTATTAAGTATTTGATACCTATTCCGATTCTGATTCCTATAGGCGAACCAAACACACCCTTAGTTTTTTTTTAGCTATATTACATCTATCGAATATATATAAATATCCAACATACTCCTACTTGCATTAAAAACAAATATTCTTGAACATATTTCTAGATTGTTCTAACCCATATAATTGGTCTTTTAAGCACTTAACTGTCCCAAGCCAATCACATTTTTAGAACTCCACACAATCCGTTGATCTTTTGATATTTGGTAAATTTTTAGGTAGACCATACAGTATTGTATGGATCATAAAAAATACATTTTTAATATATTAAAAGTATATTATTTGCATATTGAATTTATATTATATAAAAATAATGTATTTTCAGCACTCAAGTGATGTATTTTTTTCTGAATACAAGTTAAATATTTAATATACTAAAAATACATTATTTGTATACTGAATGTATATTATTTGACAGTGATGGAGTAAAATACGATTTGTATTATTATTCGTACGTATAAAGGCAAGTTACATAGGTCGGCTAACCCAGTAGGTCGCCATAGCTATACATATACGCCATTTCAATGAAGCCAGGTAAACGTAACAGTGGGTTAGAGGTTCTAGAGCCCTGCAACTGTCCTTTAGGTAAACATCCAAAAGTCCCCTCTGACTGCATTAAATGCAGTATTTATAGGGGTTCAGGGGACAATCCCCCGGTCCTTCGGCATGCTGGCCACATGGCGGCCATGCATCGGGCCGTCATTCGATCTGATTGGAAGGGACCACATGGAGATGGATTCCTGAGTAACGTAAGATCAATCAATCTTCCGCAGCGGGCCGGTAACGACCTGAAGTGGTCGGGAAGAGGCGATGCTCTGCCGAGGATGATACTGTAACACCCCCATTTTTCTTACTTTCGAGCCTAGATTATAACATTCATTCAAGGATAAAGATAAGGGTAAAAGACTAGATTAAAATAGGTAAAACCAAATAATCATTCTCATGGGAGTGCTACCGCCACAACTACCCACCCTCGAGTAGTTGTTCCGACTAAAACATCATAACTAACATACTAGAGTCATAAGCTCTACAAACATAAAAAATGGGGGTTTAAGAATCCCGGTGTCTATGCACCAATAAAACATAGGTAGTTTAAGGCTACATCAAAACAGTAGCATCAGTCTCAAAGACTAAGGATAACTACTAAGGCTAACATCCAAAAATAAACTAACTAGAGCTACACTATTGTATCATTGATAGATTGCGCTCTCAATCATGCATTAGAACAACCTGAAAAGGGTTATAAGGAAAAATAACATGTTAGCATATAATGCTAAGTATAAACTACCCAACCCCGTAACATAGATATAGATATAGGTTTGGAAAATGGTTTGACAGTCACACATATATCACATAAGATCATAAGAGGTACAACAATCATTCAATGGAATACATGTATGGATAGCATATATATATATATATATATATATATATATATATATATATATATATATATATATATAGAGGATTATATTCAAATACAAACAAGCCTTAAAATACAAACGTATGGATTGATTAGGATCGTTAGATTTTAGAATTGGATGGATAGGATTTATTTAATTAGTTTTGCATATTTTAATTGATGAAGCGTCTATTTTTATGTTAGGGAGGGTAGTTTTGGGTTTTGACTATTGTTTTTATTGTATTAAATTATAGGAATTTAATCAGGATTAGAAACTTTGTCTTACCCGATCTCTTTCTCTCTTCACCGTGGTTGTTGAAGAAGTGTCTCCCACGCCGTTAGATTCAGATTCTTCATCAGCGGTGGAAGATGGTTGTAGGTGGGGGCTGAAGTGGAGCCAAGCGACGGGGACTATCAAATCGGAGTATAGGTCGATGTATTTTTTTGTACCCTTTTGTCGTTTTCAGTTGTTCTGGCTGTTTGTTTCCTCTTTTTTTTGTTCGTTCTTTGTCTTCTGTTAGGGGGCGACTTTTGTGTCTGCGTGTGTGTGAGAGGGAGGGGGGCTAGGGACGGTGGTACATTGCTTGACGGCGGGATTAGGGGAATTTAGTTGATTTAGGTTTTTTTTTTTTTTCTTTTTTTGATCAATTTGATCAATTCTGGGTTTGGAAGGCTTGGCTGTAGTCTAATGATAGGGGAGACTCGGTCATTGATGTTCATGATCCAGAGACCTTAGAAGAGAAAGAACCTGAGAACAAGGATAGTTGTTTGGAAGAAAATTAAACACTTAGGATGGTTTTTGGTGCGGACGAACCAGCAAGCTTGACATCAGAAAGGTTGAGAGTATGTTTGTTTTAGTGAAAGCATCTTCACACTGTTCAAATTATTCCTAGTTTAGTTATTGTGCTCAACTCTCTTCAATTCTTTCATTCTTTTTATGTATTTTATGTCTATGGGAGGAAAGATTGTTAGTTTGGTTTTATTTGATTGTTTTGTAGCTTAAAAATCTCTGAAATGTCCTTGTGTTAAGTATTTTGTGGCTTGCTATACTTGTAGTGCATTTGAACATCCATACCATATGTGTATGTCTATTTTCCTGCCGATGCTAATGACCAAAAAATCCAATTATGAAACAAGATTAAGTCTTTTGTGAAACCATTCTTATTTTTATTATATTTTATCAAATAACATATAACAGACTTTAGGATACCTCAGTGTACCTGGTTGATGGTTAAGCAAATTTATTTAGTTGCACATACACAGAGTTTGCCACAGAGGTGCACACATCTGTTTATTTTCTAAGCCTATAGGCTAGTTAAATTTTATATTCTATGCATGCACATAGTTTGGCCCCAAAGTGCATACATCTATTCTTTTACTAAGTGTATAAGCTAATAGTAACTAGCAACTTCTGTGGAGTTTTTTGAGTTGTCATCCATGAGTGAATTTCTCTTTGATGTGCAGGCCAGTGCACACCGTAATGTAATTGTGTGCACACATGTATTTATGTACTAAGGGTATAGGCTAGTAGTGAACAAGTCACTTGTGCCAAATTTATGTACTCATTATCCATGGTTAAAACTTAACTATTTGCTCATGCACACAGTTAATTAGTCAGTTATGCGAATTTAATTTAGTTATTATCCATCGATGAGATTTGTTTAGCTGTCCATGTGCACAATTTAACCACAGTGTGTTCACATATATTTTGTTTTACTAAGCCTACATGCTAATAGTGAGCTAGGCACTTGTGTGAACATTACTTAGGTATTGTTTAGGGTTGAAATTTCTTTAGTTGTTACGCAAATGTGCACACACGTATTCCTGTACTCAATTTATTTGCTAATACTAAACTAGTCACTCGTTGAAATGTATTTAGTTATTATCCATTGTTGAAATTTATTTAGTTTGTACATGCACACAGTTTAACGCCAATGTGCACCATATATATATATATATATATATATATATATATATATATATATATATATATATACTGTTCATATAAGCTAATAGTGAAGTAGTCACTTATGTTTGATGGATAAGGAAATTGATGTTGGAGATCTCAGACTGAATAAGTGCGTAATTGTTGTTATTGTTGTGTATTTAGTTTTTCTGGAATTGTGGTTGGTTCATATGGTGATTGTCCGGAAGATTTGGTATGTTCTCCATTTTACAAAGTCTTGTACTTTTTACATCTTTGCACTTTTCGTTTTTCTTAGTTTTCATTTTTGCACTATGGACTTCTGTTACAGTTGGACATGCTAATGAGATTCTTTAGCACTATTCATCCTAGAAGGTCTGCGATGTGTGCGTGTTTGGAGCCGAAGCGCATGCAGATGAGTTGGCATGATGGCAAGAATAAGGTTGATTGCGGGG